AAGCAGGGGGAGTGGGAGAAGGAGAAGCAGGCTTCGCGCAGAGCAGGGAGCCCGATGCGGGGCTTGATCCCAGGACCCTGGGCTCATGATCTGAGCCGAAGGCAGACGCTTAATGACTGAGCCACCCAGGTGCCCCCAAAATACTTTTTAAAGGGAGTATAAAATCCATCATGCTGGTGGGCTTGATTTGGTGTGAAAAGGAAAGGATGGACATAGAGATGACACCTAGAATTTTGGTTGGAGCTCCCAGATGAGTAGCGATATTATTTACAGAAATGGAGTTGGGGGATGATTTACTACAAAAAGGAGTTCAATTTTGGACATTTAAAAAAAATTCAACTGTAATTAACATACAGTGTTACATTAGTATCAGGTGCACAATACAGTGATTCAACAATGCTATACGTTACTAGTGCTCATCAAGGTAAGTGTGCTCTTAATCCCCTTCATTGAGCTCATCCATCCCCACCCACCTCCCCTCTGGTAACCACCAGTTTGTTCTCTATAGTTAAGAGTCTGTTTTTCTGCTTGTCTCTTCCTTTCTGTGTTCATTTGTTTTGTTTCTTAAATTCCACATATGAATGAAATCATATGGTATTTGTCTTTCTGTGACTGACTTATTTCACTTAGCATTATACCATCTAGATCCATCCATGTTGTTGCAAATGGCAAGATTTCATTCTTTCTTATGGCTGAGCAATATTCCATTGTATATATATGCTACCTCTTCTTTATCCATTCATCTATGAATGGACACTTGGGTTGTTTCCATATCTTGGCTATTGTAAATAATGCTGCAATAAACATAGGTGTGCATATATCTTTTGGAATTAGTGTTTTCAAATTCCTAGGGTAAATATCCAGTAGTGTAATTAGTAGATGATATGGTAATTCTGTTTTTAATTTTTTGAGGCACATTCGTACTGTTTTCCACAGTGGCTGCACTAGCTTGCATTCCCACCAACAATGCACTGGAGTTCCTTTTTCTCTATATGCTCACCAACATTTGCTATTTCTTATCTTTTTGATACTAGCCATTCTGACAGGTGTGAAATGATATCTCATTATGGTTTTGATTTGCATTTCCCTGATGATGAGTGATGTTGAACATCTTTTCATGTATCTGTTGGCCATCAGTATGCCTTTTTTGGGAAAACGTCTATAATGTCTTCTACCCATTTTTAAATTGGATTCTTTATTTTCTTGGTATTGAGTTGTAGAAGTTCTTTATATATCTTGGATATTAATACCTCATCAAATATGTCATTTGAAAATATCTTCTCTCATTCAGTGACTTGTCTTTTTGTTTTGTTGATGGTTTCCTTCAGCGTGCAAAAGCTTTTTATTTTGATGTAGTCTCAATAGTTTAATTTTTCTTTTGTTTCCCTTAGCAAAGAAGACATAGTTAGAAAAATGTCTCTACAGCTGATGTCAGAGATTCTTGCCTATGTTTTCTTCTAGGAATTTTATGGTTTCAGGTGTCACATTTGGGTCTTTAATCCATTTTGAGTTCATTTTTGTGTGTGGTGTAAGAAAGTAGTCCAGTTTCATTCTTTTGCATGTAGCTGTCCAGTTTTTCCAACACCATCTGTTGAAGAGATAGCCTTTTTCCCATTGTATATCTTTGCCTCCTTTGTTGTATGATTTTGGACATCTTAAATTTGAGATTCCCGTTAAACAGCTAAAAAGTTATACAGCTGGAAATCATCAGCATTTAGATTGGATAAGGATTCAAGGGTCTGGAAAAGGAAGAGAAGTGTCTCAGGATTGACCCTAGGATATACCAACACTTACGGATCTAAAGAAAGCAGAGCCAGCAAAGGAGACAGGAATTGTCTATGAAGGAGGAGGAAAAGCAGGCAAGAGAAGAAAGTGTTGGAAGGAAGAGGGAGGAATCAGCTATGTAGGCTGGGATCTAAGAGATCCAGCCAGATGCGAACAAGAGTGACCACGGGCTCTGGGAACGTGGAAGTTATAGGTGATCTTGACAAGAGCAATTTCAGTGGAATGCTGGGGGCAGAAGCACAAGTAGAGTGAGTCAAGGTCAGCCAGCCTATTG